CCCCGCCCCTCGCCACCCCGACGTCTGAATTCTGCCCTCTGGACTCCACAGCTTTGTGGCTTCTGAGTTCTAAATCCGGCGAAACCTTTTCTGCCCTCCTCCAAGTCGCCTGTCCACGTTCAGACGACCGACCCCTTCCCTCTTTCCTTTCTGATGAACGCTCCTGGCTTCCAGGACACTCGCCCGGGTTCCCTCCCCCACCTCAGGTGCTTCCACCTGGGGTCGGCCACCTCCACTAGACCTCCAGACGGCCAGGTTCATGCCCGAGCCCTCTCCTGCCTTACATCATCCCTTCGGAGGATATCAGCTTCGGAATCCCGGCATGAAATACCAGCGGCAGGCCCATGACACATTTCTCTCTCTAGTGGCACTAACTGGGTGATGGATGGGCCAGTGGTGGTTTTTTATAGTCGTCTGTCTGCTTTTATGTATGTTCGACATTTTCTATTAGAATGTTTGAAAATGATTTCTATCGCTAGCCCAAAGCCGTCTGCCGGGCCTCGACTCATTGGTCCCGCAGTCTCTGACGTTCCTCGCATACCTGTCCAGCATCTCAAACCAGATGCCGTGAAAATAGGTCTCTTGCTTTTCCTGCCGATAGCTCCAGTCAGAGCATCAGGTGCTTAAGCCAGGAATGGAAATTAAGCTCTGCTTCTCCACACAAGAAGTGTCAGAAAGCCTAGTTTATACTTCTGTAAATGTATCTAAACTCCATCTATTCCCCACTCCCTGCTCCCCACCCCCCCACACACACACATACCTTTGTCCTGCCACTCAAATCTAGGTCACCCTCACCTTTTCCCACTCACCCTTACTCTCTCCCCCACCCCTGCAACAGTTTTTTTCTCCTGGCTGCTCAAATAAAACCCAGACTCCTCAACACGACTGTCTCTCCCTCACCAACATGGCCATCTGAAGACATGGAGCCAGCCGTACAGGAGACCCGAGTATTGGCTATAGTCATTTTCGTGGGCCACTTTTCTGAGGAAAAACGTTGCAGACATTTTCCTTTTATTTTTACAGCATTAGGAATGGTACCGCCTCCTGAAAACGTCAGAATGAATTCAGTTAATTTTCAGAACATTCTCCAATGGGAGTCGCCTGCTTTTCCCAAAGCGGGTCTGACTTTCACAGCTCAGTACCTAAGGTGAGTTGAAAGGGGCTCTTGGCAGGAAAGTGCCTGAGGATGGTGGCCCTGGCTGGTCACTGGGCTGGGCCACAGGAGAAAATCTGACTGCTGTCGCTCATGTGACCATGACAGTCCATGGGGAACCTTCCTGCTGGCCTTTTTCTTTCTGTCTGGGAAATTCTTGTGAGAGCTCTTATCTCTGCAAACAGACAGGTCAGATTCCTTTCACAGGGGCAATGGTAGATAGAGACATTTTATCATCCGGAATGGATGTCATCGGCCACAGTGGTAGCCCACTACAAAGCAAACATATCGGGTTTGTCACAATTAATGTTTTTTAAGAGAACACTGCCGTGGACACCATTTCCAGTTATTCAAGTAATATTGCCGGAAATCAGCAATATACAAGTGGAAGCCATCAAAGAAAATTGAGATATGCCAGGTCAATTGAGATATGCCATCTTCACCACCCACCCCCTCCAGTGGATTATAACAGTGTGCCCCCATGTTGTGGGGTACAGGTAATTTGCATAATGGGTGCTCAGTCCACGGCTATTTACTGAAATTGAAGGTAAGACAGCTACTGACTATTAAACGCTCTATTCTCTGAAAAGGTCAGCTTACGAAGGAAGGTTGAGTGACACCCAAGACAATTATCTCAGTGGTGCTCTGACCTCCCTGTACCTGCCCTTCCTGTTGGTTTTTCTCCGTGCCAGCCCTCTCTTAGCAGCCTGCCACCGTAGGCCATAGGCTGGACTGCAGGTGATGCATCTTTATGCCAGGTGCAAACAGCAGCAGGAGGCCACCTGCTTCTAGTGTGACTCAGAAACATGCAGAGATAATTCCTTCAGTGGAGCTGGAGGAAACATGGCTTCCAGATTCTATTAATCCCACACTCTTTTTCATCGAGCTTTCATGTTTGCAAATATATCCAAGGCCTGCAAAGTTAGAGAAGTACAGAGATGAATAAGATAGCCTTTTCTTTCTTTTTTTTTTTTTGACATTCAATATTATTTTATATTAGTTTCAGGTATATAGCATAGTAGTCAGACATTCATATTATTTACAAAGTAATCCCAGTCCTTGTTTACTTTTATTTTTAACTTTTTAGTTTCAAATAATTCCAAGATAACAGAACATTTCAAAATTTCAAGTACAATACAAAGAACTTCCTAATAGCCTGTATCCAAATTCACCAATTGATAAGGTTCACCACATTTTCCCTCTTTCATACCTCGTGCCCTTGGCCCCTTAGCATTTCATTGTGTATTTTGTAAGAGCAAGGATAACCTTTTACATCGCCACCGTAATCAAAGTTGGCAGCTTTACCATCGATGCAATACCACCACCTAACCTACAGTCCGTATTCCAGTTTTGTCCCAAGGACTTAAGAAGGAGTCATTCTGTGACTTATTTTTTTCCTGCGGCGTATTTTCTAGCACTGATTGGTTTTATAATTTTACCTCTGTTTTTTTCCACTCAGTCTCTATAGCTCTAGAGACTTCACTGTGGAAAATTAACTTCCCTCTCTCTGTCTCTCCCTACTGTAGTTTATTTTTTATTGTTCCGTCCTTTGGCCTTGTGGTAGAGATGTTTGGTTTGGGGCATCTGTCTTTTAGCTGAGAGTTCCCAGTGACTTTCCAGTAACCCAGAGTTGGTGCCTGGGTTCCAGGTCTCCTCAGTGTGGAAATACAGACCGAGCATGACATGTACCAGGGACGAAAGAGCATGTGCTGGATGTGTCTTGGGGAAGAAATTTGAACCTGAAAAATCTGATTACTCCTCCATGGCTACTCTTCCATGGTTCTGTTAAAGATTTGTTTAGAATTTAGCCCGGGGGCGATAAAAGGGGGGAAAAAAACCAAAGAATTATAAAAATAGAAAAAAAAATTAAAAACAACAAAGAAAAAGAATTTAGCCTGAGCGATCGCATGGCACAAACTCTCTCATATATGTGCAGTGGATAGGGGTGACTGGAGAAGGGGCATGGGTGATTTTAAGATGGAAACGTTTTTAAAAATTAGATGTAAATATGGGGAATGGATCATATTACCTATATAATGAGGAGAAGAATATTTTTAAATGCGATAAAACTGGGCTAGTGAAAGAAGAGTTATTGCGAAACATTATTTTACTTTTGAAATACTCAGTTGCTGCATTAGTTTAAATGGAAAAATGGCTACCCGTGAGAAAACCCCCCTGATGAAATAACCCCTGGATTTTCCAGATGGCGGGAAGTTAGGGATGTGAGGCAGCCATAAAGAGCTGACTGACTGGCGAAATGTTTGTGGTATATTAAGTGAGAAGAGCAGATTGTAAAATAGTATGAGCCCAATCATCTCTATCTCCTTTTTGCAAGAGACTGTTCTGGGCTTTGCTAAGAATGTGGGGAGGTGCGGTGTGGTGCCCGAGATGTGGGCTCAAGTCTAACAGACCTGAGTTCGGATGGGCAAGTCTCTTAGGTTCTCCATGCCTATGCCTCGTCTGTAAAACAAGACCGATAAAACACTTAGCACTGAGCCTGACACCTAAGTGCTCCACAAGTGTCAGCTTTTAATATTTTTATCACCATCACTTTTCTTGTCACCTCGAAGGGCAGCTGAATTGGCTTCGACACCAAGACAGGAAGGTCTTGGACTGAGGAACCAATCAGACAAAATCTTTATTTTTTGCAAGACAAAAGCCTGGATTTTCTTGGGTTAGGTTGGAGCTAATTACCTCTTCAGGCTGTGGTGAGGTTAGGTTACCCGCACCTGGCGGATGTCCCCAAACATCCCTTTTCTTCTTGCACTTCACGTTTCTGCCACCCTCTCTTCGGTGATGGGTTCCAGGGCTAGAGATCTGAGGTCGACAGATCGTTTTATAATCTTTCCAGAGTAATCGCAACGATAGTCATGTATGGGGCAATAATATATTTATTTTGGTTAATCTGTGTCTGTTAATATTGCATAAATCGTGTCCTGCTCTCAGAAATACATAAGCAAGAGAGGAAGCTTTCTTGGTCAACATGTCGACTATTTGACCCCTTTTGGGAGCAACATGTGTTCATGAGGATGTGAAAGTTTCTGAGAAGTTTCTCTTGTGGAGATAGACACTTCTTTACGTTCAACCCAGTTTTTGCCCCCAAATTGTTTGACCGTGGAACAGCTTATTTTTGAAATGTCTTATGATAGATATCTCAAGGATCATTAAGGTCCCATGGAGCACAATTTGGAAAATATTCATAAAGGCTGCATACTCTCCATCAAAATTGATGATTAAGAATCTGCTTTATTTTTCTCTCGTTATCCTCCACTATCCTTTGGTAGCAGGGAGAATAAAGCACCCATCGGCCTCAGAGAGACTGGAGTTAGAACTCTCAGGGTTTTCTTTTCTTGGTTTCATAGTTACAAGAAATTCCAGGATATGTGCACAAGTACTGCCCTGACGGAATGTGATTTCTCAAGTCTTTCCAAGTATGGCGACCACACCTTGAGAGTCAGGGCCGAACTTGCAGAGGAGCACTCAGACTGGGTGAACGTCACCTTCTCTCCTGTGGATGACAGTGAGTCGCCTTATTTTCCATTTCCTTGTCATGTCACTGCACGCTTTGGGTTTTATCCCATTGGTTGGCCTGTCAGCAGCAATTCTTTGAGTGCCCTCAAGGCGGATGGCCTCGTATGAGGGGCATAAGGCATGTGTAACAAAGAGGGCTGTGGCCTTACAGAAGTTCATGGGGAAGAGACAGGACAGGAAAGGTATAAAGTCAGTAAGATAATTAAATATCCATGTAATCATGTTCATGCCTCGAGGGTGAGAACAAGCGGGGCCCGTGCTGTTTGTGAGAACTGGAATGATTAGTGGACGGTTGCATGCGGCCTCCCTACGGGGGGGTCCATTCTGAGGAACGCATCTTTAGGTGATTCTGTCGTCGTGCAAACGTCATAGAGTACACTTACACAAACCCAGATGGCTTAGACGACAGCCCTGTGACAGCCCTAGGCCCTGTGGCGTAGCCTGTTGCTCCCACGCTACAAGCCTGTACAGCACGTTACTGTCTGCATCGTTAGGCAGTCATAGCACTGAAATCTGTCTGTCTAAACATAGACAAGGTACAGTAAAGTAACCATGATTGGAAGGCATTCTGGGTGACTCAGTGAGTGAGTGCCGAGTGAATGTGGAGGCTAGGAAATGACTGTCCACTACTATAGACTTTATAAACACTGTACCCTTCGGTCACACTAAATCTATAAAAAGAACACTGGGTAAAATCAAGCCCAAGGGAAAATGATGCAGTGGGAAGGCCCGGTAAACACAAGATGTGCAGTCTGCTGCTGCTGGTGCGACAGGGCACGCTGTTTTACAGGTGACATTTTTTTTAGCAATAGAAACAGTGCACTCTAAAATAACAGTCAAATGTAGAGCCTAGTAAATACATAGACCAGTAAGTCATTTGTTATCGTTATCAAGTTTTACCTACTATACATAATTAAAAGTGCTAGACTCTTATACAGCTGGCAGCTCAGTAGGTTTGTTTACACCAGCATCACCACAAATACATGGGTAGTGCACTGCTCTATGACATTCCGATAGCTAGGACGTCACTAGGCCGTAGGAATTTTTCAATTCCATTATAATCTTTTGGGACCACCGTCTTACATGCGGTCCGTCGTTGACCAAAATGTCGTTATGTGGTGCATGACTGTAGTCAACTTTTTTGGAGGAAGTCAGTTTGGAATTATGACTTAAAGAAATTTGGCGGGATAGGCAGAAGAATAAAGATATTGTAGGCAGGCGTGGAGACAGGAAGACCAGGTACAGACAGCCAGCTTGCCCAGGACGAAGGACGGAGGCATGGATCCAGTTAATGGCAGATGCGTTGGGTCAGGTTGGCTGGTAAGCATCCAAAAAAAAGTGTTCCCAGATTAGATCTGGAGGGTCACAGGGGCCCACCAGAGGTCATGAGATGAACGTAATTAGAACATCAGGAATTGAAAACGAATTAATCCACTGTATAGCGAGAGAGAGTAAGAGGATAAAGGGTTACAAGAACCTCATTAACAAAATTCAAGTGCAGCCTTCCAAGGAGTAGAGAGGAGCATTAAAAGGATTGTCTCTACGTGTGGAGGTACCTTCATTCCACCCCGCTGCTCTGGGCTCCAGTGGCTCCCACAATTTCACCCACCCTAGTGGGGAATGCAGATAGGATGCCCTTCTGCCCTTTCCCAATTCTGGCCCAGGCTTGGGCAAAAAACTCTTATGTCCAGAGTCAGAAGTTATCAGAGTTATAGCTTTTATAAAGGTGTCTTTATTAAAACTAAGAAAAAGTAACCGTGAATAAATACAAACAGCTTGGCAATAGTCAAGTCTCCAAAACACAATACAGGCTTCTGTTACTGTAATTGCTAACTGATTTACTAGGTCCTGACTATTTTGGAAGTTCCCTTTAGAATGATACAAAACAGCTAAGCAGCTTTGCCCAAGGTCACACAGGTGAAGAGTGGCCGAGCAAGGATTCACAGCCAGGCTCCCGCGTCCACACTCTTATAAACAGCTACTTTATATTGGATATTTGCCTCTTGAAGTTTATATGGTAGGAAAATGCTTCAAGATATCATGTGGAACCTACATGTACTTGCTCTGCAAAAATATCTAAAAGTTTTTTTTATTATTTGGTTTTCAGCTACCAGCAGATGAGAAGCAGGGTAGAATGCAAGAAGCAGGCCCATTAGCAGCCCCCCCTCCCCTTCCCACCAAAAAAAAATAACAGTAGCCAGAAAAGAATACAGGATATAACTCAAATAGTACCGTTGCCTGCTTTTATTATTCATTTATTATTCATTCTAGAGTTACTGTTGAGCACCTACTGTGTGCCAGGAACATTCTTAGTGCTGAAGCTACAACAGTAAACAAGACAAAAATCTCTGCCCTCGTGGAGTATACATTCTAATGGGGAAGACATATTTTATGACAGATAGTGACTGTGGCTCTCAAGAAAACAAAGCAAGGTACCCAGTCAGGAAGTGATGGGAGCTGCTCTTTACATAGGATGGTAAGAGACAGTCTCTCTGAGGAGGTGGCATTTGAGCTGAGACCCAAATGAAGTGAAGGGGCCAGCCACCTGAATATCCAGTAAAGGAGCACTTGGAAGGGAACAGCTTCAGACTTTGTTGGAAAATATAGGGCTAATTATATATGTTAAACACTGAAACTAATAAAAAAACTAGTAGAAAAACCCAGTAAAGGAAATAAAGAAAATTCAGCCTAATGGAAAGAAAAAAGCTAAGGAGAAAGCCAAAAAGGGGGAT